GGAATACATGAATGGGAAAATCCGCACCCAATGAAGGGAGGGGGAGGGGAGGTGGTGCGGCTCGGAACACGGAACTCGGTCGTCCCGTCTCGCCGATTGGGGGGGATGGCCAGAAATAAGGGTAAGCGGACTACTTTTCAGTGGAAGTAGACCGATAAAGTCGCATTATCAGAAATTGGAGAAGCAGACAAGACGTGCAGGGAGGAGAAAGCTCGGAACAATCCCGTCCTCCAATTAGGCTTTTTAAGATTTTTCATGTAGCAAAATCTCTAGGCCAGCGTTCCGATCCCGTAGCGCAGTTACTTGAACTAACATAGATTTTTGTTTTGTTTATCTTTTTAACAGAGTGACCATGGACGCAGAGGAGTACCGTCGTAGAGGTAAGGCACGCAACCAAAGTCCACCGTTACCAAAGCCAAAACCCGATTTCGATCTTTCAATACTACTCCCCTTCTGCTACCCCCATCGTATCGTAGAACAACCCCAGAAAAGTCTAAGGGTGGTCGCGGTGCCCCGTCCCAGCAAACGCGTATAACTAGCCCGCATGCACGGGTGCGGGCGGGTTGCCTATTCGCCCGGGGGCATAAGGCGCTATGACTACAGACGAGACGACAGGCAAACCCGCGTGCACCGCGCACCCGTGCATGCGGGCGAGTACACGCGTTTGCTCGGACCGGACACAGCGGCCGCGTGTAGTAGTTTCTCTCTGTGCAGCCCACTAGGGCCGCGAGGGCACGCGCACGCGTAAGCCCCGCCCGCGGCCGCGGCCCCGCCTCGGTGGCGAGGTGACGGAGTGATGCTGTTGGGCCCCTGGGTCCAGCGCCGCAGCGCGTCTAGCGCGTCCCAGCGGGACCCAAAGTGAATTGCAGCCAGTGGCGCGAGAGTCCCTCCACCATGGCGGGCTGCACCACCCCCGCGGCCCCGGGCGGCGCCCCAGGGGCAACAGCTTGCGGAATACATAGACCGCCTGCTCCGGCAGCCCCAAGTACCGCAGATACCGTCGAGTTTAAAGTTTAGGGGAAGTAGGGTAAAGGTTCGAAGGGCCGAGCGAAAGAGATGTTCATGGGGCAGGCTGGGCAGGGGGTGTGGTGCAGAGGTGACGGCGGGGAG